ACACTACAGCCAGTTAGTATATGCTGATTGTTTCAGATCTTGGAACAAATTCTGCAATTTTCATCTACTACTGAAGGGTCTTTAAACTATGTGCTTGAGATAGTTTTTGGTTGGTATCACCTGGTCTTGTATTGCAATAATGAGGCCCTCAGTCTCTGGAAACAGATACCCCACAGTGAGCCACTTGTACGACATGTCTACGTCTACATTTTCATTGGCTATTGCTCGCGGGGTATGCACGTGGAGTGCCTTTCTGCTTCCATTAACCATTTCTGTTTCTGAGTGGACTGTTGCTGGTTCATATCGTTGTGAGGCTGAGAGGTGTAAGATTATCATCAGCTTGTTGTACACTTCATGTAGTTGCGAGATTTGAGCTTTCTTTCAAAATACTCTCTCAGAATTGTAATCTGCTGTGTGTAGATTTAGATGTTTACCATGCCTCGTCCCCCGCTTTTCCTCGGTAACGCGTAACCTTTTGAGTACAGCTCCTGGATGGTGGTATCTAAAGCGAGTCATTTGTACTCTCAAAGATTCTTTCTATAGCATCGATGTCTGTCTTGGTCCATTTCACAACACCTATAGAGTGTGTGAGTACTGGTATAGCATAGGTGTTAATTGCTGTGTAAGTAGTTTTTTGAGTTGAGATGGGTCTCAGAACTGCTTTAGTCTACGCTCAAACTCTGCTTTCAGTTCCTCTTTTATTTTTGTGTGAGGTATAGTTAGGCTTTGCTGAATTCCAAGATATTTGTAAATTCATTCGTGTTTACGGCTGATATTATCTCTTGGTTACTGTTTCATATTCAATGTCAGTTGTGAGCTTTCCTTTCTCACAACTCTGGATCTTATACAAATTAAACTTTTATTTCTTATATTCCACAAAGTTTCCCGCAAACGTGCCATCCCTATATCATAGAACATTTCAGTGATTTCTAATAGTTTTCTCAATCCACGTTTTGCAACAAGAGTAGCGTTTAAGTATCATCCATATAAGCCAAGAATGAGTACTTTATATTTTTGATGCCTTTTAGTTCGATCCCTGTTCATCTTTCCAGTAAATTGATAGTGGTTATTGCTAAACAAAACAAAAAGACTATAACACTGTCTCCCTGAGAATATTCCACGTTTGAGTCTAGTGTCCTCGGTAATCACCTGCTCGTTGACGTAGTGGTGTATTGTATCGTTGGAACACTATTTGTTCATGATGGTTTTGGGAAATGTAGTAATTACGGATTTTATCCTTATGTTGTCTAGTGTTGATAGCCATCTGGCGGGACCATGTCAAAGAACTTTTTTATAATCAATAAAGCACGTGTATATATTGCGGGTCTTTTTGGATGCCTGGGTCATGATTATTATTATTATTATTATTATTATTATTATTATTTTATTATTTAAGAAATGCTAATGTGAAACATGGCGGTCTCTGCTCCAAGAAGATAAGGCCGTATTTAGTGGTAAATATACTATCATGACTGGTTCCATAATCATGGAAATTTATTATTTTTATAAAAGGACGTTATGGTGATTATAATTTTTTTTGATTTATGGCTACCAAACTTTGTTCCGAAGTATTTCAATGTGGAAAACTTTCGGTTTTCGTACTAAAACAATAAAAAAATAATAACTTCTACCTCTCCTTTTGCGATGTAAAATTATTTATCGACTCCACTATAATGCAAACCAAACATTAAACATTACGATAAATTTAAAATTGTTGACGGGACGTTTTGCCGATTTGTTTTTGTCACAAAACTTTAACATCCCATTTTTCTTTCAAAAACTCCGGGACAGGGACTCTAAAAAAGGGACTGTCCCAGCTAATACGAGATGTCTGGTCACCTTAGCCATAACTTATGTATACTGCGTGTCTTTGTCAAAGTGGGCACAAAATATAGACAAGTGCAAGATTCATCTAAATAAAAAAATGATATTCCTTACTCATTTTGAGATTTTTTAATAGACAGATATACTTAAAAACACAAAAATTAGACTGATATTACCCATATATTTATAAAATTAAAATGAAATTATAAATCTGAATCTCTCTTGAGCCAGGAATGGATTCGCGTATTTGTGATAGAGAATCTAATTGTAGCAACATCCAATTATATTATATTATATTATACGCAGAGTGAACCTACATTTACGTCCAGAAGCAAAATAAGGAGTCATCTCAGCATTTGCTCCATGGAAACTGGACAAAAACCTGATCGAGATGGGTGTCATTGACCCGGAAGCTGAAGTACATTCATTGTTACAAGCATATTAAGTCTTTACAAAATTATACAATACAAATGTAAACTAATTCATTATATATCTGTTTTGTTAAAATAAACATTATTTTTCTTCTTATGATAAGTATAGTATCTAATTGTATAGAGTTTCTAACAGTTATGCAGCAGAAATGATTTTACCTTTAACTTAAATTTGTGTACCGACTTCAATTGTGTAATGTCATCTGGCAATGCGTTGTGAAGTAACGTACATTTATTGTTTGTGGATTTCTGGTAGTGAGCTGTTGATACATATACTTGTGATTTCTACGACATGTGTTGTAATTATGAATATCAATATTGCATGAAAATATGTTTCCATCGTTAAGTAAGTCAGTTTTCAAAAACATTACAGATTCGTAAATAAATAGGCAAGGCAATGGTAAGATTCCAAGCTCAATGAAGAGGAGCTTGCATGGATCACATGGATGGCATTTTTTCTTCATTCGAATAATTTTCTTTTGCGATCTAAAGGTTTTGCTACTACATGAAAAGCTTCCCCAGAGTATTATGCTATATCTTAGGGGGAATGCACATTTGCAAAATACACGCAACGAGCTCCATGACGACTGACAGAATTTGATAGAATTATGAATGAATAACATAATGAACTTAATTTAGTGTTTAATTCTGTTATAAGTGCATTCCATTTAGGTTTGACTGAATTGAGAGACCTAGAAATTTTGTTACCTTAAATCAGCTAATTGCATATCGTTCATTTTCAATGGAGCCTGCTATTGCTGATTATAAACGCAAAAATGCATTGAAACGGTTTTTCCTTCGTTAACTATTAATTTGTTATTACAAAATCAATTTGAAACTTCTGAAATCGTACTATTTATTGTTTCTTTTTTGCAAAGAACTTTCGTTTACTCGGGAAAAAGAACCGTTCTTCCGTTTTTAATAGACGAAGCCATATTGTTTACGTACAACAGAAAAAGGATAAGACCTGAGATCGAACCTTACGGGACCCCTTATTCAATTGGTAAAGAATCGCAAAGATAAATAAATAATGTCCCAGACAGTATATTCTTTCGTACTATACTGTATTTCTACTCTTTGAAATCGATGTTGAAGGTACGATGTTATCCAATCTTGGGCGATACCACAAATTCCATGAGAAGGTAATTTTGATAGCAAGATGTTATGATCAATAACGTCAAAAGCTCGCGAAAGATCTCAAAATATGGGTATTTCATTTCGGCCCGTTGATGAAGCAACATCTTTAAGAAAAGAAAAATGGCCGTTTCCGTAGATTTTGATTTTCTAAAACCGTGTTGTGAGTCTGAAAACGCTTCGTTTTTCCCGAGAAAAGTTTCCATTCGCGTATAGAAAAGCCTTTCTAATATTTTTGAGAATCTTGACAAAAGAGAAATTGGCCTGTAATTTTGAATTTCATATTTGTTTTGTTTTTTAAAAATGTGCTTAATTTTTACTGTTTTGAAAATATCTGGAAATATTTCTGTGCATAAAGAAGAATTGAAAATTATGAGTTAAGGGGAGTATATAAGCATCTACACAAGTGTTCAATAAACAATCCGGAAATTCATCTAAACCAGGTGAATGTTTATTTTTTAGTTTACTGACTATTCTCAGGATTTTGTTAGAAGTTTTGGAAATAAACGTCGTGTCGAAAATTGTTTGAGAAGGGAATGATGTTGAATTTTGTGATTTTAGTCCCTTCGTGAGTTCAGCCGCAATTCTAGAAAAGTGTTGGTTGAAGAGATTTGCAACTTTTCCGGATTACTTGCTTCTCTTACATTATCCTCAAACAACATTCTCTATTAAGTACCGAAATGTAGTAGTCGTATTTTATACGATAAACCACATTGCTTTAGTTTTGTTACTAGCATTCAAAATAGCCTGATTATCATTATTTTTGCCTGAACTATTACTTTCTCTAAAATTATCTTGTAATCTCGGAAGTAGACATGGAAATCGGTTGATACGTTATGGTGTTTAGAAAAAAGTAATGAGAACGTTTATTTTTCTTTTTTTAACAGCTTGCTTCCTAAAATGACAATAAGAAAGAAATATTCCAATTTATTGAATTTATCTGAACAAAATGCTTTTCAAAGAAAGGTTGGATCGTTTATCAAAATATTACATTTTTTTATTACATGAGGCCTTTTAGTTGGAGGCGGGGGAATGGTTGTTACGACATGATTCATTATTGACACGTGTTCCAATGATATATGCCAGTCAAATTCTATGCAACTATAAAACTGAATAATCTTCACAGATATTTATTCATTTCATTACACAACATTCGAATGTGTGATTTAACTAGAACTACAATATTTTTTTAATAGCAAAATTTCCAAAATTTTGAACCTTGTTGATTCGCATATAACATCGATGGATAAAATAACCAACATGAGAGAATATTCCAGTACGTGTCAATATAACTAAACAGCATTGTGTTTAACAATAATATTAAAGTGTTGACCATGAAGACTACATGAAATGTACAACCTGCATACAACAAAATGTTGCGTTTCTCTTGCTTTTCTTCTGCTGACAGTTGCACACTCAGTAACAGTCTTGGTAACATAAACATATTGATTTGTTATTTTCACGTTTTGTACTCCATATCGTATATGTTAACGAAACTGCTTTACCCTCAACAAAATATTGACCGTCAGACATTGAAATACGTTATAATAAGTCTTTGATAATTCTTAATATATATATTTTTCTTTCCGTACGTATGTTTTCCTTCGAACATTGGTCCCACTGTGTGGTTAAACGGAAGTTGTTGTGCGATGATGTGTGTTTGTTGTTATGCTTTGGATGGCAGGATAAGTAGTTCGACTTAAGCGACAGGTTGTGGGGCTGGGATCTTCAGGTGGTTAATGGAGTGATAATGGCACTTGTGATATGTATTTTTCTTTCGTTATGTGTGTCAGTTTTTGGAATTTCCAATCAACGTCTGTGCGTCGACGCTAAATGCAAAGGTAAATTTAATGTGCTGAATGGGTCTTTAATCTTGGTATTTGTGTGCAAGTGTATTAAATTTGTTAATGTTCATGTCATTGTTGATTTTGAAACATGCAATGAATATGCATGTCACACAAACTATATTGTGCGGACTGACATTTATAAATAGGATTGATGGCATGACACTTCACTTTATTGGGTTATGGATACATACTTCTTGATAGTGCTTCACTCATATGTTGCATTGTCTTTGGGTAGTGCAGGTTTAACATGACAAATGTGAGAAGTAATTCATTTGGGTAAAACATTGTTGACAAATATTCGAGATATTCCCTGATGTAGAACAATTGTTAGATCTCATATGCCAAGTATAATTTACTTTCATATGCTTTGTTTTCTACCTTAATAAGTAAGGTACAAAAGCTCCTTTTTCTGAGGTTATTGTTCAATAATGACCTGCACAGTAGTGTGAAATTGTAAATTTGTCATAAAATGCAACATTTTGTAACATTATTGCCTTTTTACAATAATCATAAAACTTGCTTGCTGTCTTGTTACTACATTCTAGAAATACTAAATTTGTGCTAGTTGGGCGAGAGAATGTCATTTTCTATTATGAGAAGGGAAACATAAGGAATTGTGTATGATTCGGCTTTATTTGAAATCTAATACAACAGTCAACATTTCAGGAAAATGAAAAATTATTCAATATCAGAGAAATGTTTTTGGAACATGACTGTCTGACATACTGGAAACATAAGGAATTGTGTATGATTCAGCTTTATTTGAAATTGCCGCTTTAGAACTAATTTTTAATGTTCAGTACATTTCTGTAATATATTTTTATATTGATGTGTATTTTTGGAAACCATTTAATTAATTTTGCTTTCAATTACCTTTTATGACTTTCTATATAACAGTCATGTTCCAAAAACTTTTCTCTGCGATTGAATAATTTTTTATTTTCCTGAAATGTTGACTGTTGTATTAGATTTTTTGTACTATGTTAATGTGCTTCCTTGTATTGTACTGAATTTATGACAAAAAATATTCTTTCTGAAAAGTTCTGGATCGAGTGTCATATTTCAAAAACATTACTCACCTATTCAAATTTGTTTGATTTGTGATGGGTGGAGATGTTTTTAACCCAGTATTAAGAATTCTTCTTTTACGTTTTGGTAACTTTATATCACAGAATATCTCATAACTATAAAAGTCATTCCCCAAAGAAGAGCAGAGATTGAGGTAAATGTAAAAGAGTATGTTCAAAATCCTATGAAAATGATACGTAGAAAGAATTGAACACATAATTTGTGTTTTACATTATTATTAGCTTCTGAATTATGAGTGATATTGCCAGCAATTGAGGTGAATGTGATTTCAATTTTGTGTTTCTGAAGACTTTGAACTAATTAATTACCTATAAAAATCAGTTCTGAAATTGGATACATTTCTCTAGATTAACAGCATGTTTTGATATTCCCAGTAGTTAAAATATTTATACATACAGAAAAACTATTAGATGTTGAATTTTTGTCTGTCGTAAAAGGTGTTACTTAACAGTTGGTTAACCAATTATGTGTCAGATTTAATTAACTCAGAACCTTAGACCTTTTGTAAATCTCAAAAGTTGATTTCTTTACCCCCATCTCTATTAATCCTTTTTTATATGTTAGGCACTGGATGGCATAGATGACACAATACTACTCGTTTTTAAGCAAAATTTTCAAATTTGTACAGTATTTTTGGTTCAAAACTTTTATATTTTCATTGTGTTTTGATACTAATTTTATGTTTACTTAATATCCATTTTGATGTGATTTGACGATCTAGTATTGAAAAATTAGTCTGAAAATTTGAGCTGCACTATTCTGCAATAGCAAAAAGTGATTCAATTAATGTTTTTCCACTCATTCATGTCAACCTTTTGGTATTTCACTATGTTGTTACAATGGCTAGGTAAGTTATTGTATTCTTAAATATGTCACGTATTTTGTACTTCTGTACTATAGACTAAGAGGGGTTGTTTCAGTGAAGCCAAATATATAGGGTGTTCAGGGAGGAAACAATGAAACTGAGAAAATAAGCTCATAAGACCATTTAAGTAGATTTTGTTTAATAAACTTTCAATATTTCACATGGCTGAAAGTAAATAAGTTATCAAAAATAGGTTTAAAAAAAGATTTCCTATGCAACAATTTGCATTTCAGAAACATGTAAATTGTTTTACATGTAATTTATTTACAACGGAAGTGAATATATTTGTTCACAAAGAAACATTAATACAGAAATAAAAAAAAACAAAATTGTGTAAATTGGGTGCTTTCTTATTTCTGGGTTAATTTTTTTCGTGACAAATATATATGCACTTCCTTTGTAAATAATAAATAGTTTACATGTTTCTGGAGAGTTTGTTTCTGAAATGCAAATTACTGCATAGTAAATATTTTTTCAAACTAACTTTTGAGTACTTATTGTGGCTCGGTTATTTGAAATATCAGAGTTTATTAGACAAAATTTGCTTAATATTATCTTAAGAGCTTATTTTCAATGTTTCATTGTTTCCTCCCAGAACATCCTGTGTGGATCTATCCTATGTTAGTTTCAACAATTGCATTATGAAAAACAAGAACACATACAGGACTATTTAAAAACTGAAGGTAACTTTGTTATAAAACGTTTTCAATTAAATTTCTGTGACCCAAAAACCGCAATTGGCTAGATAGTTTCAATTTTAGTATACTGAAACTGAACTTTGTTCATTAAGTACAATTCTTTGGCAATTTAATATGTTGTGGTTCACCAGGAAACAAATCAATCAATAGTAACACTGCAAGGGTTTGAGATTAAATTAATTTTTGTTTTATCTATGGAATATATTAAACCTATAAACAATGTAGAAATATTTTCATTAATTAAGGAAGCCCATTTTGTTTATTTTGGACCAAAATTTGATATTAAAAGCAATAACTGTATTTATCATAAAAAATACAACTGTGAAAACCTTCATTTATATATGAACATAAAGAGTGAAAGCACCCAGAATAATAATTGCAAATCTCAACCTACCTTGAAAATTTGTGATAGAAGATGACTGTTCGCACCTGTCATCTACTATTCATATTCTGAAGTGTATAATGAATTGGAGTATGAAAAACTCATGTTCAACCTTGAAAGTTTGTAAATATAAACTTACTCAGAGTGAATAAATATATCCTATGCTGTGCTTTTGTCTATGCCAATTTTTGTAAAGTGACACCAGAAGTACAGTGGAGAAAGAAAGATAGATCACGCTAATTAAAATTATTCATAAAAATATTAAAATATAAACCACCCATGTATAATAATTTTGAAAAAATCTCATTCATGATGATATTCTAATTGAAGAACAGAAAATTGCAAAAACTTATTTGAAAATTATTTGAAGCACTTCTACTTACAAATACAATAAATTAAGATAAATTTGAAATGTATATGTGATATTCAAATTTGCGACTTTTAACCCACTTGTTTTTTTTCACATTTTCTCATGTCTGTAATGCTAGAACTGAAACAGTAGTCTCTTGAGTAATATGGAAGTACATAGGTCTTGTCCTGGATGGCCGAGGTTGTTAAGTGGCTGGTTCATCACGTGAAACCACGAGGTTGCCGGTTTGAGTATCACATGGGGATTTTAATTTGATGAAAGTGTTGTAGAAAACAATTCGGGATTCGAGGAACTTTATTGAAAACATATTTGAGCATTTCTACCAATGCACCTTGTAATGCTACCTTGTAATGCAATTGCCTTGTAATGCTACCTTGTAATTGCTACCTTGTAATGCAAGCATTACATGTGCAAATAAACCGAGCGTCTCTGTACATGCTTTTGCAGTTTGTAACTTTCAAACATTTTTTCAACTTTCTTTTGCGATTTGTAAAACATATGTCACGTCAAATCAATTGTTGAGTTTCTGAATATATGTATGAACCGATTGAAGTAAACTAATGAATCTATCGATATGAAATTTAAAATCATTATGAACACTAGCCAAGTGGCCAACTTGGATATCCCTAACGGTTCCGAAGTTATTACTTTCTCGCCTTACGAATTCTTCGTAAGAAATTTCGCCAGAGAAGTTGTAGTAGCTAGCGGGTTCTGGTAATAAAAAAGTGGATAAATCCTGTTGCTAAATTTAAGGGAAAAAACCTCTAACTCTTGGTGTAGCCAGAATCCATGTTTTGTTGTTTCTTCACACCGAAAAATCTATTGACGGCAAAATGTCCGTTTGTCTGCCCGTGTGTAGTTAACGCTAGCACCTAAATCGTTCAGCTGATTTTCTTCAAAATTGATATTCCCTAGTTGATCTTAACGGACTGGAGGCTTTGGGAGTTTCTAACAGATATTTTGATTGTTGAAGTTTTTTTTTTTTTTACATAAATCGAGCATTTGCCTTTTTATACCTTTGTCAGAGTTCGAACTATGCGGCACTTTTTGGCGTAGCGGCATGAGTGCCGGCAGATTAACTATGAGGATCTGAGTTCAAGTCTCGGCGCAGAAAAATAATTAGCTGCTTGACAACACTTTTGCTGGTTAAGTTGTAGTATAATGTTGCGGAGCTTTTAGAAACAAAGCGAGAAAGTATGTGATTTGGCAATACCACTAGGTTAAATTTGCCCCTCCCCCTTAATCCCGCCACTGCTGATGAGAGATATTATATTTAATATCATTTGATTCTTCAAATAAGTTGCTATGAATTGAAAGAAGGAAAATATTTTAACGTATAACTTCAATACTTAAAAAAAACAAAAAATAAAAAAAAAAAACTATGCCTGCGAAATTGTTTCCATAAGAGGCTAAGTAAATAAAACTTATTTCATATAAACATATTTGGGCGGTAAGGTTCAGATATTTTTTGGAGGGGAGGGGGCGAGTACTTCAATTTGAGCGATCGAACATACTGCCTTAAGGACCGAATTGATAGTAGTTTCTTATTATTATTCTATTTCTTATTATATTCTTATTTCTTCCTTAAGT